TCTAATCTCCTCCAGGTTTTCCACCTTCCCTATTGTCACCTCTTCTGTATGCATACGTATGAAAGTTAACATATTTCTTTGTTAACATTAATGTTTGAGTTTTCCAGAGAACAAGGGATTTCCTGACAGCAATCTTCAACTGCTTCAGTAAGAGAATGAGGATCCACTTCCTTGACTTCCCCTGATTCGACTGGAGGCATCTGAACTGCCCCACATCATTGACTCCACCTGACAAGCACTATCCTGAAACTGGCTTGAAACTACATCACTCTACACAACTCCGGACCAAGAAACTGAAACAGCACATCTTCTACAATCTGGCCAGAGCTTCAGATGAGAGCTTCCATCAACACTAGGACCCCAGTCAGGAGCTTCAATCAAGCATCTCCGGCCATACAGAGACTGTCTGATCTACTGAGATTTTGTTATATTAACATTTTTCTTCTCACAGGTCCCCATGAGATTATCATCCTCCCATCTCAGCAGGAAGTAGTTTTGAGAATTCCATGCCCCCTCTCCCTACTATTGATATTATAGGATAGTTTACACCTGTTAGTGTTAGTTTTCAATTATTTTAGAGTTGGGATTGGAAGGAGGTCTTCAGATTTGGGTGTTTCTTTCAGATAAGTTTAGGTTTAGATAGAATAGATGTTTGATACAATTTGTTCATTGACACAAGTTAGTTGTCCTTTTTAGACTAAAAGGGGAATTGTAGGAGGAAGCCTGTATGCGGCCATTAACCATGTGACTTACTAGAGGCGCATACAGATGAGGTAATAAAAGAGCGGTTTACCACTACACTAACTGCACCCACTTTAAGCATGACTAAAGACATGGACGGACGTAGGCGGTGAACTACGTCACTAGCCAGGCCCACTTTTGGGCATGGCTAGGGGGTGTTACGGGGGAAGGCATAAAAGACTGCACAAAGGAAGTCTTGGTCTCTTTTCCCGGATTTTGGCTTCCGGTTCGGCAGCAGAAAACTACTGGGCTCATCTGGGTTACTTGTTTGGTATCTTGTGAGTAATTTCTACAATAAATACTTAGTTTTACTTTCAGTAAGTGTGCCATTTATTGTTACAGCGTCATTTGGAGCCTCGACTCCCTTTTACTCTGCCTATTCTATTCACTTCCCAACCTCATGTCCTCTGATAATTTAATCTAAAGCCTTCCACTTTAAGTGGAGAGAACTTTTCTGAGTTCATGAGCCTGTATATGAAATAGCCTTTGACAAGAAATGTTCATCCATTCTGCTATTTATTAAGTGAGCGATGAGCTTCATAACTCTACTGTGCTTTTAATAATTAATATCAAATATTTGAGTTTCTCATATCCCCAAAAGTGATCAGTTGCCTTCAAGGCAACTCTTCTAGAGCATCATTTCATCCTTCTGAGGATATTTCCTGATGTTTAACGTTATTATTGGTTACCAAAATTTGTGGTAGGGAGTGCTGCAGGCATGGAAGAGGGGAAGAGAGTGTGCTGAGTCCTCTGAACTGGGTAGCTCCTCACAGCAAAGATTTGTTCAGGGCAAAGCTTCAATAGCACCAGCGATGTTAAGAAAGCTTGTTCGCTTCAGAATTACCCAAACTAATTATCTAAAAAGCACATAATTCTTTTCCCTCGCTTTCTGTTCATTGAGTCTTTGTGTCTTCCACACCATGCATCTCAATCCAATTCATGTCTCCTTCCTTTCATACCCTCCCTCTGCCCTTGCAACCTCCTCCCACACTAAATACAATTTAAGAGATAAGCAGAAGAAAAAAAAAGGAAAAATCAGTCACAGGGCTGGTGATGGGGGTGTGGTCAGCTATCTCACTCTCATATCCTCAGGGAAAGTTCACCCATGCTTTCACCAACAGGGTCAACTCTACTGTGCTGCCCAGTCAAGGAGCATGCCCTGAGTGCTGAAGCTGGTGTAGGGGGTATCAGCTTCCTCTTCTGGTCTGTCACAAGTGGTGAGGGATAAAGGGTAAGAGGGCATTCCTCCCCTCATGCTGCAGCATGCATGGTGGAGGAATAGTAGGGACAGTTCTCCCATGCTCACAACTTCAGGGCTGTCTCACCCACACCTCTGCTAACAGGGTGGGCTCTACTATGGTACCTTGACTAGTTGCAGGGTCTACTCTCCCAAGTGCTGCAGCTGACGAAGGGTTGGGTCAGGTCCCCACCTGGGACAGGTGTCTAGGGGTGAGGGGAGGAGGGTATTTTCCCCTCAGACACACCACCAAGTGGCAGACGAGAGGGTCATGACCTTCTCTCCCATTCTCACACCCTCAGGGCCAGCTCACCCATGCCCCTGCCAACAGGGTCAGCTCTATTGGGCTGCCCAGGTGAGGTGTAGGACTCTCTCCTGAGTGCCTTAGCCAGTGACCAGTGATGAGCAGGACCAGTTCTCTCTAGTGTTGCAGCCAGCAAGGGGGCAGGGCCAATTTTGTACAACCATATCCTCTCACTTTTGGTGTTACCAGGAGCCGTGAATGTAACACAGACATCAGCTGCATCAGGGCCATGAACCTGGACATGGGGCCTGGCAGCTACCCAGGCCCCCTCCTCACCATTTTTAGCTCTTCAGATATTCCTCTGGCCATAGGACATCAACCCCCTCCTCTCTCTTTCTCCCATACCACAGCACCCATTTGCTCACCATAATAGTGCCGATTGCTTGGCTTGTGTTTTCTTCTTGGAGCCCAGTGCAGACGGCCCCAGGCCTGCGTGTGGGTCTCCTTGCCCCACTCAGAACACTCATGGTGCTTGGCAGGACCATGCTTCCTCCTCTGAGCCTGGGTTAGTCCACCTCAGGCCTGCACATGGGTCTCCTTGCATTGCTCAATCCATCATCAACAGTACAATGCTTTTGTTGGATTTGGTTGTTGCTTGAGACAAAGTTTCACATAACCCAGGCTGAATTCAAGCTTCTGAGAAGCTAAGAATGACCTCAGAATCATTATTTTAACGAATGTAACTCTTAACAACTGATCCATACTCCTGTTCGCACACAGACTCCATGATATTGTCCATGGAATGCTCTGATAACCAACTTTATTAGATTTATAATGATAAAACATTTCCCCCGTACAGCCCCAAATGAAATGCTGCAAAAGACAGTTTAGAACACATCATTTATAATGCTAAGACCCCTTTCTGAATCTTTGCATTAGAAGCAAAATGATGTCTCACCACCACAATACATAAAATTATATGGAAACGGGTATTTATACATATATGAAGGAACAACTTTGCTTTGAAGAGAGTTCAGATCATTGACAGCCAGCTAGCTGCCTGAGAGAATTCTTTAAAATCATTTATGTAAGTTTCCCAGTTCAAAACAATAGCACTTAGTGAAAAATGTCATAAGTCTCCTGATACTTTGAGTACACTAGCCATAAACGTTCTAAGGAAAGGTGATATGTAAATTTGACAGCTGAGGATGTAAACTGCAGATACATTTGTCAAGCTGTTAATTTATCTTGGCTTGCAGACCTAGACATCTTACAGACCAAGAAATATTCCAACAAACCTGACTTATTTAATTTTATTATGGGCAATGAAACATCACTGTCCTGATGCCTTCATAAGTTTTGTTTGTTTGTTTTAGGAAGGATATATGTACATGTATATATGGTTTCATGATTGAAATAACCAAAGCATGAGTTAGGAGGTACTTGGTGGTAGAAATAAAGGCAACAAAATTTTTCTTTCTGGGAAGAAGCAAAATGTTTTGTTTTTCTACATATTAATAAATTCTCAATTTTAGGTAAGTGACATCATAGAGCCTTCATCCAGTAGCTGATAGAAGCAGAAGCAGAGATCCACAGCTAAGCACTGAGCAGAACTCCTGGAATCCAGTCGTAGAGAGGGAGGAGTGATGAGCAAAGGGATCAAGATGATGCTGGGGAAACCCATAGAAACTGCTGACCTGAACAAGGGGGAGCTCATGGACCCCAGACTGACAGCTAGGGAACCAGGCCCCCTGAATGTGGGGTATCAGTTGGGAGTTCTGGGCAGTCTGTGGGGGCTCTGGCAATGGAACCAGTATTTATCCCTAGTGCGCAAATGGACTTTGGGAGCCCGTTCCCTATGGAGGGATAATCTCTCCTAGGTCCTGCCCCAAATGATGTGACAGATTTTGATGATTCCCCCATGGGAGGCTTCACACTTCCTGAGGAGTGGATGGGGGATTGGGATGAGGGGGGGTTGGAGAGAATGGGAGGACAGGAGGGAGAGGGGACTGGGATCTGTGTGCAAAATAAGATTGTTTTTTATTTAAAACAAAAAATAATTTAAAATTCTCAATTTGACCTAAATATTACTGGACAACATCTCCCCCTGGTGATCAAAATATGTAAATGTGTATTCAAAATGTCAAATTCTTGTACACCTATCATGGGACAAAAAGCTTACCAAGTTATCATTCCCTCTCAATTTTTCATAACAAAAGTTACATATTGATTAAATAATTACTTTATCTAAGACATTAATCACTATTTCTTTTATGTATAACTGTGCAATCGGATGGTGTTGTAATTGTTGTTCACATGATTGTGTTTTTTAAATAGTAGAAAAATCAGAAGATTTCCCAACAAATGAAAGATCACCTTTGTTTTAGTTTGCCACTGAACTCTGATGGCTACATATAATCTTCTTTTATATGATTCCCTTATATGCATTTAGAAGCAGCAAACTTATTTCCTGTGACAGAAAGCATGCGAAAATATAGAAGGAAAGAGAACATAAAGATATTTGTGAGCTCTGGAGATATCATACGGAATTGTATTAGCACCTTGAGACTTCTGAGAGTTGAAAAGTTTTTCACTTGAGGGGGCACCCAAGAAAACCATACTTTAAAAGTCTCCCAGGCTATGTTTAAAACTGCACCATTCACCTCATGTACAACCCAATTTACTTGGTTTAAAGATATGAATATCTTTGTTGAATTTTCAGTGATAAAATAACCCATCACTTCATAAATATGTGATTTTGAAATAAATCACGTTTCATATTGTTATGTCCAGCTATTTAATCTCACTTCATTGTACTGATGCCACCAGATGAATGTCTGAATTCTTATATACATATGGCCTGCATACTACTGTTTTGTTTAGTATCTGTAGCAAGTTAGAGACCCGTTTTTGAAGCAATCCAGCGCCGGTAATAAGTCACTTGTGTGTAGACTCCAGGTTTGTTCTTTTGTCCACAATTATCTCCCCAGCTCACAATTCCAAGGAGATACCAGGTGTCTTTATTGTCTCTTACAACTAATGGTCCCCCAGAATCACCCTGGAAATAAACAAGAGTAAAACAGTTAGCTAAACAGTTCATCATTTACAAAGGTGTGATGAGCCACTTATTTTATTATTAGTGTATATATAGATTACCCATGCCCAATGAATAAATAAAGCAGAGTTGAAAATTAAGGTAGAGCTACATATTTCTCTACTAAATTTTGATTTTGAGTAAGCAACATAGAATTAAAGAGAAAAAAATTAGAATGCACATCTCTTCATCTAGTCTGTTTCCTAGGGGTAGCACTTCATGGCTTAAACTTTTTTTCTTAATTGTATTTAACTCTTTATAAAGTACTTGAAACATTGTTTCCCCAGTAAGATGCTGTCCCCCATTAGACTTCTCACATTGCTTTTCAGTAGCTGTAGTGAATATTTAACTCTTCACCCCCTTTGAAACGTTTCCTCACCAGATCTTAATAAGTTCTACATTCTATTAATTAACAGTGACATGTGCATGTACTACTTAGGAATGAGTCAAGTTCTCCAGAAAGATGTTGCCTGAACCCACCCATTTATTTCTTTTTGTTTTAATTGAAAACAGATTATTATATACAATAAATACATTGTGATTATGGTTTCCCCTCCTTTATCTCCTCCAAAATCCTCCCCTCTCAGCTACCTCCAACTCCAGGATGTCTTTTTCTCTAATGTAAGAAAACAAACATGCAAACAAAACAAGTAAGTAGCAAGATGAACAAACAGAAAAACAAAGGTAAAACACAACAAATACATACACACACAAACCCACACACCCACATAAACGACAAAACCCATAAAAACAAAAAGTACAACCAAAAACCACAATATACAAGCAAAAGACAAGTATGGATAAAAAACAATGCCAAAACAAAAATTCTCTCAAATTATGATTGAATTCATTTTGTGTTGGCCATCTATTGCTGGGCTTGCGGCCTACCCTTAAGTGTGGTTTGTACCCAGTGAGACTCCACCAGAGAAACTAGTTTTTCCTTTGCAAGTGTTGTCAAATGGAGGTGACTTCTTCCATTCAGTGTGTTCTGTAGTGGTTGATATCACCTAAAGAGATCTCTCCCTCAGTGCCTGATGCTGGTTAACAGCCCCAATCTATTTTATCAAACTCTTGACTGAGCTACAACCAGAAACAAAAAGTTGTGAAAACTTTTTTCTTTTTCTGGGTTTCTCATCAGCAATTCTGATACTTTTTTTTTGTTCTTGGATCTTGACTACCTAGATGTTTGGTGGAGGAATTCTCATTCTCACTCTTACACTTTTGAACTCTTGCACAGCTGCTCTCTCTCTCTGTCTGTCTATCTGTCTCTCTGTCTCTGTCTCTGTCTCTCTCTCCCTCCTCCTCCCCTTCCTTTTCCTCCTCCTCCTCCTCCTCTACCTATATTAGGGATATTTCTTGAATTCTAGATGATCATTTGGCAATGTAAGGAATCCAGGTTGATGTTGGTACTTTTAATTCAGTTTTATCAGTGGCGCTGAAGCCCTCATGCTGTACCCCAGTCACCATTACTGCACCTCAGCATTTGAACCACTTTTTCTATGGGTAGGGGTTTTTCTTAGATTTCCTTGCTTCACATCCCAGTGAATCCTCTGGACCACAAATCCACCCAGGTAATCTGTATTATCATTCCCTATCTGCTCAACACCTCCTGATGTGAGCTTTTATTCAAACTTCTGGCTGTCTCCTATGCTCTTGGCAACTGAGATCATCTGTGTGTTAGATCTTGCTCTGACCCAGCCTATGTGTTGGAAAACTCTACGTTCTTTCCAGCAGAGGTTGCTCATTCTGTAGTTTGCGGGCCTGTGGGCAGGGCTCTTAGGCATCCCATACCACTTAGTCTCATCATTCCACTGTGTAGATTCACCTCTTTGAAATTTTCAAGAGTCTCATGTCAAAAAAAGTAATTGCATATGGAAAGAAACATACTCACACCTTCATCAGAAAATGTACATTCCACATGTACATTCAGGAACCCATTCCACATGGGTTCCTGAAGGCTGAGGCGTACACCATGAAGAACTGTAGGACACTGACAGAATGATCTATTCATACTTTGTACCATTAAATAAATCTCCCACCTGTCATGCCACTTATGCTTTGTTAGAGGTTACCAATTATGAATAACAGTGGTTGGTTATAAATACAAATATAAGCATCCTCATAGTTTTAACTATTCTCTCTCTGTGTCTTCTAATTCTGTGATTGTATAAGTGAAGCATCATCTCTCTAGTTATTGCTCTGAAAATGTTTCCTTGAGGGGAAAACTGCTTTTTTTCCATTATATTCTTAAAGCATCACCATTCACTGCACACGTTGCTGATGCCTTTAATACTCGAGCCCATTGTACAAGAAGATGTTACTATTTTCTTATCCTGTGAGTTTATTAGTCTTTTGCTTGTCTCAGGTTGTCTAATAATAAAACATCTAAAAGTACTCACGTACTATGATGTTTACACGTTTGAGGGTGCCAGCATATCTGTGTCCTGTGCTAGCATAAAGATCACAGAGTATTTCCTGGGCTTGGTGAAAAGCTTAGTGACTTTGGGCTATTTTCTCTCCTCAACCTACCCTGCAGGCATCATAAATTCCTTCCAGATAGCCAGCACAGAACATCCCACGCTTTATGTCATTGCCATACACCTGTGGTTGCTTGCAGATGTTGTTGCTTATAATCTGTACTCTGGCTTCTCGGAGCTCATTTTGAGATTCCCCTTAAGAAAAAAACAAAGCAGTCTCAGAGTTATCAATAAGTATTCATAGATGGATGAAGAGAGTGGGTTCTTTTCGTATCTTCTTTATTCTAAAGTTGTTTATACAGACTAAGGTTAGTGTGAGCAGTCTTAAAGGAAAAAAGTTCTAACTAAAATCTGGCACATGCCTTTAACCCCTATATGTGTCTCTGCCAGTTTGAGACTAGTTTGATAACACAGACAGTTCTAGGACAGACAGTGCTACACAGCGAAACCCTGGCTCAAAACCAAAACAAAACCCAAAACTTGATGAATTTAACGATGGCTATTGTATTGCCCATTTTAATAAATACTTCTATAATCAGCATGACCATTTGTTTTCCTTTCTAGACAGTACTTGTATTTTTACTTTCAAAATAATATATTTTTATTATTTTTAAGTTTTATTTCATGTGTGCAGAAGTTTTGCATTCATGTGTGTTTGTGCACCACCTGTATGCAGTGCCTGTGGAGGTCAGAAAAGTTGGATCCCCTGGAGCTGGAGTTATATATGATTGTCAGCCATCAAGAGGGCAGTTAACTTCTTGAGCCCTCCAAACCAGTCTTTATTTTTTTAAAAGAATGCATCACAATCTCAAAAACTGCACTTTGTGTTTATGGATTCCAGATTGTTCCCACAAACAATATATGCTCAATTTTGCGTTGTTTCTTAGTATGATAAACATGGAATTATTTCTCGGTATGATAAACATGGTATTGTTTCTTGGCTTGATAAAACACGGCTTAAACTATATGTTTATCTAGTCCTGTGCATTTGCAGAAAACTTTCATGTGTGTAATTTGATCACATGACAATGTAATGTCTTATACATTTGTCTTAGATAAAGTTAGGCATCCAGATCTTAAGCTAGGTCTTTATGGCAGGCAGAAGCAGAAGGAAACTAAGAACATCACAAACATTCTGGAACTGGTTTTCTCACTCATAGACTAGATGGACAATTATGGCACTCTGGTTGGCAGAGCTCCAGTGTAAGTCCCCAAACATCTTGTGTTATTTCTCTTTCTCCAAGTGTGGGTTTGATTCTGTGAACATTATGGAAATCATTTTCATGATTAGGTTTAAGATATATGCAAACTGCTAGGAAATTTTTAAACAGGTAATACAGTAAATAATAAATAATATTGTCAGATTGACTTTAGAATAATCAAAAGGGTGATTATCCAAGGCAGATCTGGCCAAATCAAGTAAGGTTTAGAATTTCCTCACACTTTCTTGACAACACTGCTGAGGCAGGCTCTATAGCTACAAGAAACAGAGTTCTACCAACAATCAGACAGCTTAGAAGGGAACCCGAGTCATAGATGAGGCCACATCCAGAATGCAGTTCTGAGAGATTCAGAGAAGAAGACCCAATAAAATTGTCTGAACGTCTGATCCAGAAAACAATAAATTAATAATATGTGTGTATGTCTACATATCATGTATTATGACTATATTATCAATTTTAAAATGGCATCCAATTCTGGGAATAGCTAGTGAATATGACAACCAATAATTTCTAGGTAGTAGAGAAGTTGATTACTTTTATAGAAACTACTTGGTAAAATGTAATAAAATTATAAAAAAAGCATAGCTCCAAAATTTATGCCCCCAAATCCCTAATGATATCCTATCGACTTTTAGGAACACCCACTGACACTTTTTTAAAAAAGAGAATTGATTTGTATCAAAGACCTTTATTTGTATTTGCCCATATTCTCTACATTTTCTTCTTCATTGTTTCTTTCCTTCTGTTTGTTTAAGATTTATTTTTCTCATCTTTATTACTTTCTGGAAATAGGCTCTTAGTTTATAGAGTTCTGTTTAGTTTAAAGATCTTTGAGACCTTCTTTTCTAACATAAGCACAGACACACTCTGTACAGTTTCAGTTTTAATTCAATTTCAGACACTTTTAAGAGATTTCCCCCAACTTTCACTTATCTATGAGTGTACTCTGTTTTCCAGTTTGAGTTCATATGGTCATAGAACATACAGTGTATGATCTCACTTATTTCATATTTACTAATGCTTACTTTACATAAATGTATATGGACTTTCTTGGAGAGTAGGCCATGGGTTCTTGTGGTTAATGTGTGGCCTACTGTTTTAAGAGAGAGTATTTTTAAAATGTCTAATCTTACTGCTATTCACAATGTATTCTGTCCAGTATGGATCTGTTCCAACTTCTAGCTATTGCCAGAAAAGGATTTTTTTATACCAAGGAGAATTCATGATGTGCCTTCCATAATTATATTACAGAGAAAGCCCATCAGAGACAGTGCAGCCATAGTGTGATATTGCCCTTGCTCTCTGCTGGAAGTAAGAAACAATGGATAAAATATTCTGCAATCAGTTATACGACCATGGAGAAAACAATGCGTGTTCGATATGTCTAAGATGGAACTGAGTGGGGTGAACGTCTGAAGTAAATCTACAGTCTATAAAGCCTGTCCCTGGTGATGTTCGTGTAAGTGTTTTCCCAGTTCCTTGGTGGAATCTGTGATTAGAGGCTTATTCCTTGACATTAGTTGTGTCTACAGATTATAGGCTACTTCTATTGGATTTTGCCTTTTTCAAAAGCCCGTTTTGCATTTCCTCAAACTCATAGTTAAACCTTCTATTAATTTTTATATATGTACCCAGAGCATATTCTAGAATCCAGAGTGTGCTTGAGAGTGAATGAAAACATTCAGCAACAGTCATTATAAGTTAATAATAAATTTGGATCAGTTTAGAGAGGGTAATAGTGTTTTAGCGATTTATCTCCATGCTGACTTTGCTCTTAATCACTATTAAATTAGCTTCTTTAATACTAAAACAAATTAACTGCAGTCATAAAAATCAAGTACTCTGGGACGTCCCGTCGGCTACTTCTGCCACCAGGTGGAGCTAGAGTCCCCACTGGTGAAGCTTAAGGGACTTAACAGGACTGGGAGGTACAAGATTTTTAGGGGTCAAGACTGGGCTTGTTTAACCCACAGAAACAGTTGACCTGAATAAGGGGGAGCTCTTGAAACCCAGACTGATGGCTGGGAATCCAGCATGGGACTGAGCCAGACCCCCTGAATGTGGGTGTCAGTGAGGAGGCCTAGGCAATGTATGGGGCCTTGGGTAGTAGATCAGTATTTATCCCTGGCTACAAATGGACTTTGGGTGCCCATCCCACAATGAGGGATGCTCTCTCAGGCTGGGCTCTTGTAGGGAGGGGATAGGCCCTTCCCTGGATGAAATGACAGACTATGGACATCCCCAATGGAGGGCTTCACCCTCCCTGGGGAAAGGAGTGGGGATTGGGGGAAGGGATGGAGGGGTTGGTGGGAGGTTGTGGGAGGAGGGGAGACAGGGCTGTCCACCTGACACAAGTGATGAACGGACTCTGGTAAAGGGATGAAACGCCTCCTGGCTGTTCATAGGTACTCACCACTGTAGTAGAGTGCTCCAAATCCTGTGATGTAGACAGTCGAATTTTGCGGGAAGGATGCAGAGGGTTCTGGCAAACAAATTCGGCGTACGTCGTCTGAAAAGGTGACTCTTGGAGAAAACTGCACAAGGGCGATGTCATGGTCTCTGGCTGGGGGGCGGTACCTCTCATGCATAATAATTCTTCGGACGTCCCTTTTCATTAAGGGAGGGTTTATTGTTGTTCCAAAACTTAGAGTCCATTGGCGTGGGTTCGCATTACTGCAAAATATTAGCAACATATACATAAGCTGTGCAGTTTCCACTTACATTATTTAGATTAGTTAACTACATGCACTGACAATACTTCTTTGCAATTATAGTTTCATCTCATTTAGGTGTCTGTTGCTCATGATTTAAGTGTAAAGTATATAGAAGTAGCATATTGGAAGTGAATTTAACATTTAATTATTCAGTTTTAGAAACTATAAGATGATCAAGAAGACAAATTTCCAGGGAAACATCTGAGGGCCTTGAGCCAGTTGGGATTCCATTTAGGACAACTGAGGAAGAGTGGTGAAAGATGATGCTGGAGAGGTAGATGGGTACCAGAGAAAATGCTTAGGCTACATTTAAGGGATACTAGAATTCTTTCAAAGTTTTAAAACTGGGAGTCATGTAGCCTCATTAACATATGTGTATCTTTTGATGCTAGAACATCCCTTTCAGACACCAGTCTTCCATGTAATGAATTCTGTGTTAACTCAATATTATATCGAAATAATATGGAACATGTTATTTTGGATTTTTGTTTGTTTTGCCTTTTGTTTGTTTGTTCTTTTGTATTTTTGAGAACTTTTATATACCCCACTCAGTGAAAGGGCTCCCAGCATCAGGACTGATACGGAGAGAGGGTTGTAAGAATTTTATAAAGAAATCTCAGTACCTAATCAAGTGCCTGTAGCACCACAGAGGTCAATACTTGTGCTGTTTGTTGATACAAAGCCATGGTCAACTCTTCATGCCCCTGCCTGATCCCTCCTGAAGGTGGAGGCATGCTCTGCTTTAGAATCCCTTTGTTTACCTTGGCATCCCTTTCACCTCTGAGCAGCCTTGCCTGCTGACAAGTTCTTTCTTGACTCCCTAAGTCTTTCTAAAAAACATGACAGGACTTCAGATCAGTTCATACAACTCTACTACCTGTAGAGATGTCTCAGAGTAAGATTTCAGCGTGTAGGACAATGTTTCTCAAATGTTAGTGTGCACACAAACCATTAGGGGCTTGTATTAAAACTCAGCTCCTGAGTCTGTAGCTCTGGGGTAGAGTTTAACCATCTTCATTTCTGACGCATCCCCTAGTGATGCTTGGAGAACTGCACTTTGGGTGGCAAACAGTTTGCTGCTGCCTGTCGCCTTGTCATCTGAAACTCTAAGAATACTCCATTTTGTCCAGTTCACTTTAACTGTGTCACACAGCTCAGAATTTGCTCTCCCAGCTTGGGTCTCACGTGGCACGTGCTCTGGCTCTGATTTTTAAAGACACAATGTGAATCATTATCAAACTTTGTTGCCCTGTCGATGTCATTGCTGTAAATTTGAACTGAGAAGTTCTGCAGCAAAGTTACTCACTTCCTCCTTCCTCAAGGATTTCAGCTCCAGTTTGTTAAAAACATCATGAGACTGACCAAGGGCTTGATGGCAATGGGCATCAATGTTAAGTGCAGAGTATTATTTAACGAAGAACTGAATTTATTAGTAAATGTGATGCATTAGGCTGACTTCTGCTTTGTTGTAATTTCTTTAGTTAAAAATCTGAAGACTTAATTAATGGACACTGGGACATGTTCAGCACTACTTTTTTCCCCACCAAACTTTCTGAATAAGTTTGCAAGTGGAACATTATTTTAGAAAATGATCAGAAAGATTTTCTTTACTTCAGTCATATTGGGGACCTTGATTGGTACACAGAGTATGGAAGGACTCAGGGATTTTAGCAAAAGCAGGAACTGACTTAAGTTCAATAACTTACGTTCTAAAACAGTGTGCTGCAGTGACCACCCACATGTTGCCAATCAAAGTGCCCCCACACTGATGGATGTTGCTGCGCTGAAGAGAAACTTGCCAAGGCCAGGCACCCCTAGCTGCAAGGTTTCCAGATACTATTCTGTTGGCAATTAGTGGGATAGCTCGCTTGCCACAATCTGAAAAAGAGAAATAATTTATAAGAAATATCTGTCTAATTATTTTATGCAGAGGATTCTGCAGAAAAACTGCAGTGCAGATATATCATTTGTCACTTTTAAAACATGACCACTAATCATTTCTTGTTTTTCCTTTTACACCGATACATTGCTTAGTCCAACCATTGCATATGTGACTATATGCTGTTTACTAAATTATAAGGGATTAACAGGATCAGCCCCACGGACTCACAATCACCATTTATCCAGTTAGTCTAGGAGCCTCACTGAAGTTATTGTTTTGTAGTTGCATATGACCCAACAGTGTTGTGTTGTTACCATGGAGTCCTCATCAGAAGGACAACTCCCTTTAGGCAAATAAGCAGTGGCCTGTTTGGTGAAAACACCTTTGATGTGTACCCTTTGAGAGTGACTACCTTGTAAGGTGTGTAAGGATGAATGCATCACAGCTATGCATTCATTCTTTAGAATGGGGGTTTCCATGTAAGCATTATATCTGCCATTGACAAGAATAAACATGTACTCCATCACATCAGAGGCTATTTTGGTACCTGAGGTGACTGTGAGGGCAAAAATGTTTTGAGATCACAGTGTAAAGGAAGTGTAGTAGGTTGGGTTTTGTTCTAACAACTAAGTGTAAGAAAAAGAAAATTCATTTTACTTGTGTTATCCTCCGAACCCGGCTGTTTGAGAAATCTCCAACATGTTACCATTGCTCTCACTTGAACAATGAGTTTCCCTCATAAGAAAGTCTTCTACATCATTTCCTTGCATCTACATTCTGTTTCCTGCACTGGACATTCAGTGACCATTCTGAAATGTGTGAACCTTTTGTTGTCCTCCAAATAAAGTAAACATCGTTCTAGGTGATTCTGGCCCCTGATGACTATTAATCACATTTCTTGTCCCATCTACTCAGGTCCCAAATCTATGTTATAGCCAAGAAGACATTTTTCATTTGTAGGAGATGATGCTGTATTCACGTTCCTGGTCTTGTCCAGAACACTTATTATTAGCCTCTTGATTTGTGGCTTCTCTTCTCTGTCATTTCAGGGATTATTTTCTGATCCAACACGACCAGATGAGCTAACTCTTAAAGCACTGTATATTTTCTTTAATCATTAGTCACACTCTGTTAATAATTTTCAATTAATTTCTGTCTTTTTTCACTTTGGAAATATGTTTGTAAAAGATCATGTGTTATTCACAGCAGTATGACCAGCTCCTGGCACTCTTTTTAACACTGTAGTAATAGATGTTAAAAGGTCAATAATAAAAATAGATAAATGAATACATAAGTAAAAAACAATACAGGTGTTTGCAACACGCAGAACCAAAAGCATGGATTATTGCTCAAATCCTTCACCACATTTGTAAAATCTTTCAAAATTAATGCTACATTAAGTTGAAATGAATTGGTAAAGTCTCTGCCAGATATGAAGATAATGCTAGTATATTTTCAGTAGTCAATCTCAGATAGTGGCTTTGTTTCTTCACCTTGTATCTCTTTATATCATTTCAGCAGAAAGCAGGTCTCAAAACTTTTTAAAAAGATATAGAAAAGTAAGCCCACTCATTAAAAACCAGAAATATATATTTCTTAAATTTCTTAGTCTTAGTGTTAGAAAAAACATATCTACCTATTTCCCAATTGTTATTCTTTCATATGAAAATGTGAATGTAGATGATAAATTATGAGCTAATATTTGAAGATATGATTGCTTATGTGGAAATTGAACTTGTTTGTATAAGCTTACAGACTTACATGTTCAGACAGTTAGTGTCCCTGATGATGAACACATTGCTCAAAGCCAAAGAGAAGAAGAGTGATGACTTGATGTTCCCCAGGTTCATTGCAATAACCAGGAATTACCAGGTCACTGACCGTGGATTCCAGATAGTTGAGCACACAGACCAGTTAGGACACTGGCTTTCTCATACACATTGGACATAAAAGGCAACATCTAATTAGTTAGGTAAGTTTTTACTCAGATAAAAGCAGTGAATGACACCTAAATACTGAACTTGCCTCCTGGAATCCAGTGACAGAAATGGAGGAGTGATTAGCAAAGGGTTCAAGACTGTGCTGGTGAAAACCACAAAGACAGCTGACTGGACAAAGGGGAGCTCTTGAACCCCAGACTGACAGCTAAGAGACCAACAGGGAACTGATCCAGACTCCATGAATGTAGTGTCATTGAGGAGGCCTCAGAAATCTCTGGGGCATTGGGTAATAGATTAGTGTTCATCATGGCATAAAATGAACTTTGCAAGCCCATTCTACATGGAGGAATGCTCTCTCAGCCTGGGGAAGGGCCTAGGTCCTGCCCTGGATGAAATGACAGACTCTGGAGATCCCCCCAAGGAGGGCCTCACCCTCCCTGGGGAATGATGTGGGGATTGGGCTGGGGGTAGGGGATGGGGTGGGGAAAAAAACAAAAGTAGTGAATGAATAAATTCTGCAAATAGTTAAAATTAATGCAGAACTGTGGTTTTCCAATAGTGTCCTGTAAATCCTCTTGGATTCCACTTAAAGATGAGAAGAGGGAATAAGTAGATAGGCCCCTAGGCATCACACTCTCTCTCAACCAAAACATGTCTGCTTTTGTCTCTTTTGATTACTTAAGATTTAATATAAGCCTGTTTTTCTCAAAGAATTTGGGATGAAAAGACTTTGAAAACCTCCAACATAAATTGTGTTTAAAGTACTTTTCAGACGTGTTCCCTAGCTAATTAAATGCTGTGGCTTAAAACAAAAATTAAGCTGGACACAGCAATATATGCCTGTAATACCAATACTAAGGAGGGTAAGGCAGAAAAATGGCTAGATGGAACCTTTTTCAAAAAAGAAGCAAAAATAAAAAATACAACTATAGTGCATCATTATATAAGTTGAATCTTATAAAAGGTCAACTTTAATGTTTAATTCTGACAATTTCCAAAAGTTAGAAATCTGACAAAGGAAACAAACTTTTATGCAACATGAAATAACATGTTATGCATAATAAATATGTAAAAATATTTACATGTACACTGTATCTCAGTAAGACAGGAAACAAGATGGTGCAAATGGGCATTACAGTTGTGGTGGTTTTATTTATGTCACTAAACAATACAGTAAAAAACTACAGGACCCTGCTTCACAGAATTAGTCTTTGCAACCTATTTCTCTTTGAGGAAAATAAGAAGGTGTCATTCTGTCAATCCCTTGTGAGTCCTATGTGAGTAGTGGATGACAATGACCTCTCTGAAGCAGGAGCTTAAGAAAGAATGAGCTCAAAATCATCCCTCAAGGCATCCACAAGACACAGTGACGATGCAATTGTTTAAGTGCTAAGAATATGGAAGCAACTCAGTTTTCTATCTCATGTAGTTTGTAAGTTTCTTGTTCAGCTAAAGCCAAAACAAAACACAAAGGGAAGGAGTTTAAATTTGTCCATAGTGATACACTGAAAGAGTGTCTTGAATGGAAGGCCTAAGTGAACCTTCATGCGCCTCTTTCTTTCAGTTGACCCTCACTAGCTCTGCTAATATAGGAAACTCATCTGACTGATATCATGAAAAGGTTAAAGACTTTATTTTACAGCTGGAATGCTTCCTCCCTTGGCCTTTGGAAGAAAGCTGCTTGGAATTCTGGGAAAAGGTGGCCATTTGCTATGCACTCTTTTCTCCAGTGGAAAGATGCTGTTGGTGTACTGATGATAACCAGAGAACCAGTTACTCTCTGGAAAAGGCACAAAAAATACAGTAACTCCGAAAATGCCTCCTCAGTCACTATTCTTTACAGAGCATGAACTATCCAATGATGCAGTGAATGGGCAGTCTGCGTACCAGAAGAGCAGACTACCCTGAGTTTGTAATCCCCACCCCAGTCTTACCTTCTGTAGAACTCCCTAGATAAGTTGAGTGATTGCACACACAAAAAAATGAGATGATATTTTTTGAGAAGGCCTGTGGTAGTTTGAATAAGAATGGCGCCTGTAGGTTTGTATGTTTGAATGCTAGGTCTCCAGTTAATGGTATTGTCTGGGAAGGATGGGGAGGTGTGGCCTTGGTGGAAGATTGTGTCATTGGTGGGATAGGTGTTGAGGTTTCAAAGGTAATGCACCATTCAAAATGTGAGCTCTTGGCTACTGCTCCAATGCCATGCCTGTCTCTCTGCTACTATGCTTTGTCATGGCAATAGACAAGTAACTAAGACAGAGCCTCTGTCTTCTTTGGTTTGGTTAAATTTCTGAATAATTTTTCCTTACTCTAACAACATATCATTGAGTCATTGATGTTTTTGAGTAGCAAGTAGGGTACATAGGCTCAGAGTTACAATTAGAATTCTTTTATTAGACCTTCATCAATTCAGTATTAGGAAAATGCAAATTATCCACCTCCAAAATGACTCCAGGGCAAGCACTAAAGTATCATAGTTGTAAATGGTATTTTTTCCTCTGTCTTTGTTTTTGTTTTTGAGAGAACATTGTCCTATGACCCTGACTTGCCTAAAACTCACTATATAGACTGGTCTGGCTTTATGTTACAGCAATTCTCCTGCCTCTGCATCTTGAATGTTGGGATTAAAGGCATGCACTTTCATGCCTGGCACTATAACTGGAATGTTAAGATTATTTTTTAGGGAGAGTATTAGAACCAGAGGCTGTCTGTCAATTCCTTGTTGAAAATTCCAATTTTTATAAAATAGTTTTCATTCTAAGTGTAGACATAAAATATTTTTACTTAATCCAAAATGACCATCCCCAAACATTTGGAAGTAAGAAAAATCTAGTAGAATTCGGATTTTGCAGACTACAACCATTATGATGGGAAGTGTGGCACACTTCCTCTGATATAGTCATAAGTTGTCTTTATAGCAGTGGTCACCTTAGGAAGAGGAAGCTGATTTAGCTTTGATTTCACAACAATGTATCTAGCAAAGGACCCCAATTGTACCGTTCAAATAATATATCAAAATAAAACACAGATTCTTGAAAAAGTATGAAAGAACCCAGGGCTAAAAGGTTATTTCTGGCTGCTCATAAATACTGTGAATTTGGAAATTTGGAAATTTTTATTCTTTTAGCTCTTTCTCCTAGGGCATACAATTCAACAGCTCCTGAAACCATAGTTTTCAGGTGCCATACCATGTTTTCTATATGTTGTCTCATATTTTTGTGCTGCCAAGAAAGAATAAACATTATTTCACTTTTACGGGTTAAAAACAATGCACACACAGGTATGGGTGATTACTTGTGTTCTACAATAACAAAGAGACTTTGCAATTAGGTAACTTTCAAATATTGTTCTCCACAAGAACATCCTCTTCTCAAGTATAGTACAGTCATTAAAGTACATGAAACACAAGCTGAGCTCGTATGAAACAGAAAGGCCTGGTGGGTCAAGAGACTCTATCTCTTGTTTCCAATACTGCAGACAGGCTTTTGAGTCCCTGAAAAATTAACACTCTTTTAGAATTATATAAAGCCTGTCATGTAACGTCTCAGAATGGCCAGTATTTCACAACTGCAATACCTAAGGAAAAAATATCGCATATTTGACAGGTATTTTTCCTTCCAGCTGGGAGGGATCCATAGCTTTATTGTCTTAGTAACTGACTTCATGTCAAATGAGCAAGTGTCTGCTGATCCATTACCTTAGGTTCTCATTTCCTAATGAGCTTTCCTCTTAAAGAGTCATCTTGACCCATATAAGGGCAGGGCACCTGTTTATTTCTAATACAAATCATTTGTTCTTATTCTTTTACATCTGGCTCCAGTGGAGTTTATGGGATAAATCTGTACCTGTCTGCTGGAAGTAGATATTGTGTTAGCACATAGTATGCAAGGATGAGCAGATCCTGGGCTTTCTGAACTCCTCTGAGTGTCAAATATGCTAATACAAGGATGAATTTCCAGGAGACTTTCAACTTTTGTTTAAGCACAAACCCTTTCTTTGAAATGCCCATCAATAAATTAGCCATCTGGATTTAAATCTCATCTCCTTAAAATTGTTACAGTCCTTAAAAATTTTATACCCATGAAATAGAATTTCCATGCTTTATTAGTATATATACATTAAATTACATATTGCATATAGGGTGTAGAGATGAATCTTGATAAAGATAGACTCTTCCATTCAGAGAGGTGATAATGATGTAATGAGTTAAAGGTGAACAGAAAAGGGGAAAATAGAGTAATGTATAAATGGTTACAGTGATATGTTATTCCCACTGACTTTTAAGGTATGATTTTTAGATGGTCCTAATGACTCTATAAGCAATTTATCTTCTTTTCCTAAATACCCAGAGGAAGAAAAATAATAAAAACTTCACAGTATCACCAAATACAGAAACTAAGTATACTTTTAAATGATACAGATGAGTTTGTGTATTTAGAAGGTCCCAAATAGAAACCACTTGTTGCTTAACCTTTTCACTTGCTTAATCGTGGAGGCAGTGGCTGGCTTGGATTAACCCAGTTTGCGGTAAAGATGTCTTTATTGGGAGATGAGTGCCAATCAATTACTTCCAGGAAAACTTCTTAGTGACTAATGTCAGACTTGCTTTCATCAGAGAGTAATACAAACTTGAAATGTCTCATCTTTAGTTTGAAATTTTTCCCATGTGATTTCTTAGCATTACTCAGCATGGGAATGACAAGTGAGTTTACGGCTACACAAAACATTCGTATTACGTGGTAATCAACATACTTACCATTTACTTGAACTACCGTGACATCAGCTGGCAAAGCTCTTGTATTCCTTATCTTCTGATTTAAGGTGCTATGCTTCTTCTTTTCTCCCACAGTCCTTTGCCCAGTAGAGGGGGACTGGAGCACCATAATGATGTCTGCTTTCACATCATCTTCTTCTGGACTAGGAAGCACAAAAGAAGGCTTCACATTCAAAGGGTGCACCTGGTATTGTCTCACCATCTTTCCTTTAACTTCTTGACCTATGCTTCAGTGGCTGAGAATGTCAAGGGCCAGGCAATTCGCTCAAATTCACACTCCTTCACATGCCACTCTCTGACTTAAATGCATTCCTCATGTGCCCTCTTGTAGTTATTTTTTAAAAATTTTGTTTTGATTGCACACCTCCCCCCATTTACTTGAAGACAAGTTACTGTGTTGGGGTAAGACTCAAACACAAAGAGTCAAAAGCCATCAGAAAAATAAAATAGTCTTGGTGTTCTCAGGCTTTCATGATCAGTGTAGTTCTCATTCCTCAGAACTACATAGTGGTTCACAACCACCCATTTTTCTCTTCTGGCCTCCAAGGGCACAGGACAGGAGTGATATACAGACAGACAAAAGCATACTTAGTATGAAATCTTTAAAAACTCCTTGTGTAAGTCATGTGTTATCAAAAGCAAAGATCTTTAGAAAGCGTTCAGTCTTTCATTGTCTACTGGTAAGAAAAGCAATCACCTCTCATTCCTTCATGTAAATTCAGCTAAATTTCTTAGTTACTTTTTACCAAGCTTTTTCAGTATACATTATTGTACAAAGTAGTGGGTTTCATAATTACACTTTTGTTTGAGTATCATTTTTTCTCTTTGAGATGAGTCATACATACTCCTGGTTTTGTGCCCATCCTGCTGTGTGACTTTTAAAATAACAAAGTTTAAACCACTGAGTAATGTAAGCCACTGATATGAGTCCTCCTTCCCCACCCAAACAAAAGGGAGCATCTATTACAACATGATTGTCTTTTGGTTCAGGCATGCCATCTGTCACTAGGTCTTTGTTACTGCTAAAACTTATAATCCCATGTTGTAATGAACTTTGCCTTCTTGATGTTTTTAAAGCTCTATATGTTCCAGAAATATAGGATTTCTGTGGATGCAAAAACATGGCCTGGGTTTACCCATGGCTGTGGATTAAGGGTGGATCCCAGGTCTCGAAGTCAGTGGGTAGGGTTTGAGTGCCCGTTCTGACAGCTGTAACTAACTCTTGAGGGAACATTCAGTACATTACCATCCTTCTTCTCCTCACATCTCAGGGCCTCAGTTTTCAGAATGGGTTTAGCTCTGTACCTCGAGACTATTGTAGTGAAACATTTATGAAGTGCCCCAGTAAAAGGTCTAGAGACACAAGTTATGCGGGGAGCCCTGTATCCTTTGCCCTTTATCCCTCCAGGTTCTCAATTATACCCTTGGCCAAATATACTTACATTTGTTTGACTCTGTGGTTTTTGATATAGCGCTTGTTCAAGGCTGAATCTATAAGTATTTCATCTACCTGTCATTACAAAAAAGAAAAACAGTATGTTAGTAGGATGGTTTATCATGAGACTACATCTCCGATTAAACGTTAAAGAAATAGAATTTTCACAAGAGCAATACAATTATTTGAGTTAGTGCTTTTTTTCAGTAATCCAACAACATATTCCTCTAAAGAAAGTATACAAACAGATACAGCTCTTACCAGAAGGCGTATGTAAATGGCGTTTACAGTGAAAGCTTTCTATCAGTCGTTCAGTGTACCAGCGCTGTGCTGCAGCTTTTAAGTGGACTTCACATTTTTTATTACTTACAACTTTTGCTATATATAAAAGAATCTCATTGAAGGAAAGGAGGGAGAATTCAGAACATCCGCCAAACTTACAACTTTTACACTAAAAAGAGAGAGATTCTAAAATACACATACAAGCATGCTGTACGATCCTACCCGGCTACAACCCTCCTATCCTTCCAAACTGTTGTTTTTACTTATGCAGAATTTCCAAAATTAAAAACAAAATAACTTCTCAGTTTGTAGTAAATCTAGGGGCTGTACATTTCTGATCAATTTTGTAAAAACCCAAAACAACAACAACAACAACAACAAAAACAAAAAACCCAAAAAACAAACAAAAAAACCCTAAAACCTCACAAGTAAAATAATGTTTAATGGAAATACCATAGAGACTTCACATGGAAGTGCATAATAAAAATGTAAAAACATGTTGCCATTCATTTATGATATGTTCAGTAGGCAGTCACTTGTTCTGCAGATCTTCAGTTGTAAAGTATGGAAAGTACTGGGGATTATGGAGAGACAGATTCTTAAATACATGTGGACTCTAAGGCCAACCAGAAAGGAATAGAGTAAGATAATGTTGAAATATCAAGTAGAAGTGGTGGTCTTCATTTTATACTACTAAGGAAGAAGAAAAATAGTAATTTTTTGACAGATATATACACAGTTTCAAGCCTGCTACGTCATGATGCTGTGATCTGTCACAGCTGTGTTTGACTTCCAGTACTCTATAACAACCACTTGGTGGTGACAGTGTCATCTGAACATCTGTACTGTAGCTCCAGCTTCAGAGGAACCAGATGTACCAACAGAAGGAAAACAAGGTCCTAAATCCTAAATTCAAGGGTGGGAGATGCAGCTCTTACTTTTAAAAGAACAAGACATGTTTTAGGAATGGTGGATTGAGTTATGATTCCTTTACCATTATTAGTAATTCATAGATGCATCATTACAAACCAGGGTTTTCATTGCTTACTTTAACCCTTACAATTATTCCATGAAATAAGACTATTTGATTCCTGTCACACTTGAAGAGAAAGCTGACTTTGAGGTATTGTAAAGTTTTGTAGTACCGTGCAAATGAGGACACGTTGAGACCTAAGGCTTCCATGTGTGGGGGTCGTAGTTGGTCTCCACTCAGTTATAGAACTTTCTTCTTAAATGTGCTGTATTCTATACTTCAGTTTTTTCCCTAAGCACATAGTTATCAGTCTACTGATACATAGTTGATTGATATGAATGCAATGTTTTATGATACTTGTAGTAGATTTAAACAGGAGCTCAGAGTATTTAAAGAAAAAATTGTTAGCATCTACCATAGTTAGGTGTCTACTGCTGTGATGAAATGTCATGACCAAAAGCAACTTAGGGAAAGAAAGTGTTTATTTTGCTTCCTCTTCCAGGTAACAACTGATCACTGAGGGAAGTCAGGGCAGGAACTAAACAGGGCAGGAACCTGGAGTCAGAGCAGATGCAGAGACCATGGAGGAATTCTGCTTTCCAGCTTGCTCCTTGTCTCTTACTCAGCCTGTTTTTTTTAGAGAATCCACCACCAGCAGTCAAAGGATGGCACCACCCACAATGGGCTGGCCCCTCCCATGAAAATCACTAAAGGGTTGCCTATAACAGTCTTTTGGAAGCATTTTTCTCAACTCAGGTTCCCTCCTCTCAGATGACTCTAGCTTTGTCAAAGTGACAAATAGCCAGAACAGCACCCAAAATATACCCTCATCTGTACTTAAATAAGAGAAGCTTAAATTTGGTAGTTTGATTTTATATTGCCAGAAAGAAACTATTTTGCAAGTTTTCTCCCAAAACTTGCATTGTTGTAATTATCTCTGTCATTATTCCGTCTTTACTTTTACTCAACACATGGGAGGGAAATCCTCCTCCCCCACAAAAAGGCAAACCCAAATGGAGGAGAAAATAAACTTTAAAAGGAAGAAATGTACATCATGGCTGAGCACTATAAATCCTTGGTTTGTAATAATAATTCATCCAGTAGCTGATGGAAGCAGAAGTAGAGTTCCACAGCTAAGCATTGAACCAGACTCCTGGAATCCAATTATAGAGAGGGAGGGGTGATGAACAAAGGGGTCAAGACCATGTTGGGGAAACCCACAGAAACAACTGACCTGAGCAAATGGGAACTCAAGGACCTGAGTATGACAGATGGAGAACCAGCATAGAACTGAACCAGGCCCCCTGAACGTGGGTGTCAGTTGGGAGGCCAGAGCAGTCTATGGGACCTCTGACAGGGGAACCAATATTTATCCCTAGTACATGGACTTTGGGAGTCCATTCCCTATGGAGGGATACTTTTTCAGCCTAGATACATTGGGAAAGACCCAGGCCCTGCCTCAAATGATATGACAGACTTTGATGACCCCTCAATGGGAGGCCTTACCCTCCCTGGGGAGTAAATGGGGGTGGTATATGGGGTTTGTGGGGAGCATGGGAGGATGGGAGGGAACTGGGATAAGATTCCTTTTAATTTAAATAAAAATAAATAAAAAATAATCCGAGTAAGTTCTACCCACAATTGAGTTTGTGTAACTTGATAAAGACTAGATTAAGGTTTTGACCACTGTTCTGTGGAGAACAGGTCTGACACCACTCCATGGTGGAATGTCACAGCCCTCTGTGAAGATATGAGCCAAGGGAGCAGCGAAGAATAAGCTAAGTCACTTGGATGCTTAGAACAAGAAGGAAGGTTCTTCTTCATGATTCCAGGACCTTGCCTCTAGACTAATTAGACATGGGCCAAGACCAATGGTCTTTATGTGATTCTTCTATGAATAACAGGAAATATGGGAACTGATAAAAAGAGAGCTTATGTAATGAATTACATACTGGGCAGGGGAGTGAGGAATCCAACAAAACATAAACATTAGCTGTGTTAATAAAAGGGGTTTGGTAGAACTAAGCCTTGTAGGTAGATGTCCCAGAGTTACATCTGAATGGGAGACTGGGGCTGCTTTCATCATACACACTCTGTTGGTGCTGACATTCCAAGTTCTAGGACACTTTCTTCTTTCTGCAATGTAAATTTGTATGCAGTTCGCTAAAAATTTGTTGTCATTAACACAATCTAATACAGCCAATGATTTAAAAGTCCTATCTGTCACTTAAAGGCATTTGTAGATTTGTAATTAGGAGTTGAGTGTCCTGAAATTGACCCCTTTTAGGGTACTACTTAGTTTTTGCTTTGACTTTGGAATGCTGTAAATTGCACTGAGTTTAAATTCTAACAGGGCAATTTAAGGTTAGTTGGATGTTTAGTGAAAAAGTTAGGGAGAGGCTGACAACTCAAACAGATACGCCCAGCCATTGAGCTTGTTCCCAATCATTCCTGAAGTAGCTGTTTGCACATGTCAAGGCCTTTTTCTGTTAGGTCCTTCCTAATGGGCTTCTCCTTTTACAGTAGTCTTATGTTTTCACATGAGGATATTTCTGGGTTGACATTGCAACATCCAGATACCTCTTCCACTGAAGATTTAAGACAAGCTCGTATTTCCAATTAACCTTAATTGACCTCCTGAGAGCTAAAGGAACAAAAGCATATCATGAAAAAAGTAAAAGGAATTGTATCATTATTATAATAATGATACCATAGAAAGCATGATGGGATACATTTAACAAATATTTGCTCACTTTAGTTGTATAGTTATGTTCATGTGCCAGAACATTCGCATATGTGCTGCATGAGCAGAGTGCCTGCAGAGATCAGAAGAGGGCATCTCAGACAGTTGTGAGCCATCGGATGTGGGTGCTGGGAACTGTACCCACACCCTCTGGAAGAGCAGTTAAATGTTCTCAACCTCTCAGCCATCTCTCCAAAAATCTTGATGTAGGATGGTTTTAAACATACCTTTAGTTTTAGTAAAACTTATTTGAAGTAACTGTTGCTACAGGGATACAGTCAGTAAAAACAGGGAATTGAGTACAATTTGAAACTTTGCTCACATATTCAGACATTCAGCGACCTCCAATCTGCCGCCAGCCTGCCTCTTCAGCCCTCCACACACGAGTACCTTGCAGCCCTGGCCTTCATCATCCTGAGTACTTTGCCTTTGACCTACTGAGTCCTTCTGCTTTCTGGTTGTCTTGCTTTTCTGCATCCCAGTTGCTCTTGGAGGAATCTCTCTCAGGGAGTCAACTTTGGGATTTAGTTGGTTCTTCATCCTCAAGCTAATCTCATTTTTTACTATCTGGGCTTTTCTTATCCAATTTATGCCTTCTGCATATTTGTATATTTATTTAAATAAATGTATTATTTATTTTATCAAGCTGTAAAGAATTGTAAGCAGACATTGTGATTTTGTTTTCATGGTCTGTAATATGTAGCCGAGCACTTTGCAGTAATAGTTACATTGCATGTTATAGAATGAACAAATAAAAGGGAGATATTTTGAATCAGTAAGCTTTGCATTTGCCAGGAAAGTTCAATGATAGGTTTAAATGCATGCCTTACATCATACTAAAATCACAGCTTCTATACAAAAAAGAAAATTGCCTATAAACTATTTGAAGGTTACTTCTTCTCCTTCTCTTTCTCCTCCTCCTCCTCTTCTTCCTCCTCCTCCTCCTTCCTTCCTTCCTTCCTTCCTTCTTCTTGCTCTTCTTTTTTCTTCTCATGGCTTTTCCCAGCATTTTTCTTATAGTTGCTCCATCATGAGGTCACACGCGGTAAACGTAGGATTAGTGCTATTATTATTCAC